ATCTAATTTTTAAAATAGTTTAGCTACTATAAATGTTGAAAAATATGCCCTATTTTTTTTACTAACCGGTGATTAGATTACAAATGTTTCATGACTTTGTGCACTCCATTTGCCTGGCGGAAAAGATGGCTTTGATTTTGAAGGATATGATAGCATTGACATGACATAACCATGAGGAATGGTTTGCCTGCCGTTGCATCTTGCATGCAACATTATATATTCATTTTTATTATTGTAGTTTTACAACAAATAAAAATTATGATTGATGTCTTTCAAACATTCGTCTATTTTTTTTATTATTATATAATATGATTTTATAAAATTGTAAGACTGATATTATGTATAATTTTTTTTTTATGCCTTTAAAAAAATTATTTAAAAATTACATTACATTATTGATACCAAAAAGAATGATTTATATATAATAAAAAAATAAATGTTTTTTCTTCTACAAAATCAAATGTATGTGATATGAATTGTCTATCCCTAAAGATTAATTTATAATAAATATAAGTAAAATATAATATATTTTATTAAAAATTTTATTTATACATGTCAGAAAAATAAAAATAATTGCATAGAAAATATAAACAAAAAAAGAAATTTTTTATTTGTATTGTGTGTCGGCATTTTGTCGGCAGCGGGATAACAAAAGGATTTTTTTCATCTTCTTTGATCATTTTTTTTTATTCGCCGACATAAGCTTTTTTTTTCTCCATTTATTTATTTATTCATACACTCCCCTGTTATTTAACGAAAATGGATAAAAATATAAAAATAAATATTCAGAAAATAATCGGAGAAAAAAAAATAAATATTTTCTAAAGCTTTTTACATATAAATATTAATGCATCATTTCCTTTAGAAATAAATTTTAGATCATCAAAAATTAAAAAATTATCATTTTTTTTCATAATAGCAAATTTATAATTAGGAGGGGGTGGTCTTTTAGAAGGAAAAAATTTTATAATGCTCTTTCTGATTTTGATGCTTAGAAAAATAATTATTTTTGTCTATACATATTTTTTATTTTTGGAAAGAAAAAAGAAAATGATATAATAAGGAAGGATGCGTGTGACTTCGTGTCCAATATGCTAGTTGAAAACGAAATAAATTTTCCTCTTATTAATATTAACAATCACATATAAAAATAAAAATTTACCTATCCCGGTGATCATTTTGAACGTTGTTTCGACTGATGAAAAATAAAATATACAACTGGGCTTTGGACTATTTATATTAAATTTTAAAAAGACGTTTATTTATATAAAATTTATATTTATAACCAAAAAAAATTTTTTCAAAATAAGATATTAAATTTTAAATTTGAATTCCGCAACAGCCAATGCGTATGATCCTTTCCCAGTGTACTGTTATGGGATGAATATACTAAATACAGAGTATTTATTCTATAAGGTATTTCGAGGAAATTATTTTCCGAATTGGTAATTTTCCTGATAATCCCTTTTCCTTTGAATAATTTGCCGATAATCATTTCTTAAAACAGTAATAGTATGAGTATCCAATTCTGACTCCAAGACTGGTTTAGCTTCTTTATTTGTAATACTCGTAAATGTTCTTTTCCAATTCTTTCTTTCAATTTTTTATGGCTTAAGGAAAAACTGCCTATCTCTTGTTCATCTGAAAAAAATATTTAACCCGCCAGCCAAATTTTTTCAAATTGTTTGATTGCTTGGTTTGGTTATTTGTTGATTGAACACATTTTTTTACATATAAAATATGCAATATTATGAAATAAAAAAATAATTATTTAAAAAGCTCGCTGTTCATTTTGCCCGAAAAATATTTCCATTTGACACACCCGCCGCCCATTGGTTTAATTTTTTTAACCAACAGGCCTAATAAATAAATTATTTAGCTCAGCCCAAAGTATGGGCTAACGGGCTTAACCCCAGCCAATTGCAGACCTCTAAGATGAATATTGTGTTATTATAGCACTTAAATATATTGGCAGCTATATTTATAAATAGAAATCATTTTTAATATTAGTTACCATTATATTTATATTAAATCCTCGGTTCAAATTTATCGAAGAAGGAGCAGGGGCATCATTTGAGTTATATATTAAATTATTTTTTCCCCACTTACATAAAGGAATTCTTATTTTTTTAAAATACACCCAAACCGGAATAACCGGGCCGGTATTAAATCTTTTTTCAAAAAGAATTACGAGTCGGGCTGAATAATCTAAAATCGAATATTATAGAAGGTCATTACTAAATATAAAAATTAAAAATAAATGTAATATATTTTTAAAAAATCCGGGCCGAAAAATTTAATAAAAAATCTTGGGCCTGGAAAATAAAAAAAGCCGGGCCGAGCCAGGCCCAAAAAAAATTTATAAAAAAATCCGGGCCAGGCCGTGCGAATGGTACCTCTGCAAGTCTCTGATATAAATATTGTCAGTCATTTTTACAAATTAACACAAAATACTTATAAAATGAATTACGAACTGAAATGTCTTGGGCAAAAAGATTCCAACAATAAGGTACGTACAGGACAAAAATACCTAAAGACCAAAAGACACCTGACATAAATACCTTAATTTTAGATATTTGTTAAAAATAGTGATTTTAAAAATGTATAAATAATTCAATTTTATTTGTCCGTGGATATTTTTATCCGTGATCTTACTATGAATACTTTGATATTTTAATATATACCGTAAGCAGTTAATTTATTTTGATGATTTTTTATTAATTTAATATTGATTTCCCTGCTAATAAAATTTATTAATTTTCATGTTAAGTATAAATTTAATATAATGATTAGATTGGCATTTATTTAAAATTTATATAAATAAAATTTTCATTTTACCATCTTCAAAATATTGGAGGCCATATTTACAAATAAGAACATGTATTAATGCACGAGTATTTACAGTATTCAACTCACAATAGGTATTCATCTCATAACGATACACCGGGTACCCATACTTCGGGGCGTGGTCTGGTTCTCTAAATTATTTTCAACAATGGGCGGATGGGTTAAAAGCATTTTTAAAGTAATAGGCTGGCGAGGGGGGTGGGGGTGAATTTTTAATTTCAGGCACAATGAGGAGAAGACTTGAATTTATTATAATATTTTTATTTTTATATTATATATATATTTAATTAAAAATACATAAAAATAAATAATGAGCCAAACCGGCCATTAAAATAATTTTTAAACATGAGCCGGGCGGGCTGGCGGTTTAAACAAAATTTATAGATAATTTCTAAATATATTAAAAATGTATTATAAGTGGGCGGATGGTCTAAAAAATTTAAAAATAACGAATCGCCTGCCCATTATAGAAATCTAACACCGGGTATAGCTCAATCCTACCCAAAAATATTTTAGGGAATTTTGCAATAAGTATCTGATATTTTAAAATTTAAATATTTTATAAAGACTACGAAATAAGGAATAAATGAAATATTAAAAATAAAAATATTTTTAATTTTTATTAAGATTTGCCTTTTAAAGCTCGACAAGACTTTCGTCTCCGCTACTCTATTCACAACATTTACTTTCAAAATCAGGTCTTTTAAAATTAACAAAAATGCCTAAAAACTAGGGACAATGAAACCCTCCTAAATTTCATGAATCCTTACGAAATAATATATTACAAAATTTCTCTTGGGTCATAATTTTTCTTTACACCATCGGAACTTCTAAATTTCGGGTTCTTTGAATAATTAAATGACTCTACAAAAATCTTTATCTTCTATCGATCGTGCTTGAAAAATTATTAATAATATTATTCTTCTGTATCAACTCATTTGTTGTATAGGTATTTAAAGCATTTGCTATGATTTAGTTATTAATTAGTGTTTTTCGTTAGATTATATTGATATATCATACATACAAATTAAATATGAGTTCATTTGAAAATATTTTTGCTTTGTCAAGAGTCATTCTCTGCCTCATTGTTAAATTGTATGCTGACACTTTATGTTAGCTTGGAGGATTTTGGAGAATTTATCCAATTTCAATCTTTATAGCCAATTCTAGCTGTTTATAAGTGGAGGAAAAGTCCGATTTCTCGAAGAGGTAATTTCATCTACTCAGGATTGAGATTCTTTCGCTATATGACTGTTCACAGAGAGAATGAAATGGATTTGATAGGAAAATAATCTATTGCAAGTTGAAATTTAAAAAAAAGAAGAATCTTAAGAACTTCAGTCTGGAGGTAACTATATAAATAATCTTATCGGATAAGAATAGAACCACTCTCGTTTCATTTATAAACAAAATGTAAATTAATGATATATTTTTACATTATAAATACAATAAATATAGACAATTCGTGTAATAAAAAATTTTTATTCAGAAATTTGGCCTACGAATATTATGATATTTTACGATAGTAGTAATAAAAAAACCCCTTGATTTCGTAGAAAACTCAAAATTATTAAAATTTACAAAAAATATATATGCAGCATATTTTATTTTAGACTCCGATCGAGGGGAGGCAATTACTTACAAGGATTCTTTGTGGCTTGCAAAAATCCCCAAATTTTTTTAACCTCAAGTGTTTATAATTTTACCGTCTTGTAACTACTAAATTATAGTTCGAGCTAAGTTGGAGTTTCAGAAAAGTCGGGCTGGATCCAATCTTATAAAATAGGTTCAGTTCTCGTTATTTTTTATATTTAAAACTTTACGAGATGCCGGTATGTTTAACGAGAATCCGGAAGATTAACTTTTAAAAATAGTAATCTGATCCCATTCATTTCCTATATTAAAATATTTCTGATCGAGGAACTTTCCAGATCCCTGGTTGAATGATATGGCAGTTACGGCTATCACTCAAAAACATATACAAAATAAAATTGAAACAAAAAAATTTATCATGAAATTATTAGCACTAAATGTCCTTGACCATTTTTTCGCTAGCACATATAATATATTACGAATAATTTATTTTTTAAAAATAAATTTTGACAAAAAAATATTAATTTTTTAAAAATATTATTATAATATAATATACCCGTTTTATTTGTTTTTGTTTGGTGATTGGAAAAAAAAAATTGAAAAATATAATTTTTTTTTTTTGAAAAATTATTGCGATATAAATTTTATAAGGAAATACAAACAAAGTATTCATTCTAGCGCTTTCTAATTGAATCGTTTGTTTTTCATATTAAAAAAATATCCAACAAACACAAAGCTAAACTCTGCTACTCAATTTATAAGCAATATTTTATAGTATTATATTATAGCATTTTACTTGGTAAAATCATGATTTCAAGCTTGAAAGACTATTTAAAATGATTCATTAACAGGTTTGAAATGATAGTTTACAGGGTAAAATGCTATATAAATAAGTAGAGTGCTCTGATTTACCCTTATATAAGATATGCATCAAAAAAAAGATGACTGTATTAACAACGTTGAAAATATTAAGAGGAAGAAGATATTATATGAGAATAGCGGTTTAACAATTTTTTTTCTTCTCCTTAATTTGTCGAGTACAGAAGTATTTATGTATATACACAGAGAAGCTACCAAAAAAAAAGAAAGAAGAAGAGGCAATAAGCTCTATTGAGATAAGGTACATCAAATATTGGATAAATTATGTTGAAAAGAGCGAAACATGATTATACGTATATAGAAAATGGAATTATGATGTTTACGATAATACAAAATATATTAAGTACAATTTATAATGTTTTCATGTAATTTCGATATCTTTGCCCAAATTTAAACGTAACCGATTAAAATCTTCGTTACTGGATTGGTGATTTTTGGTAAAATGATCCCCAAGGCCATTTTCCCTCTTTTTAAAATCGATGTTTTCATCGTTGGAAGATTGGGAATATTCGTTTTTTATATTGTTGTCTTCTCCCACGGCATTTTTATCCGAATCGCAATCGCGTCCCCATAAGTTTTCCTCTAAAAACGTATCAAGATTTGCAGAGTTATTGTCAGCTGTGATAGGGTCCAGGGGTTCGGCGAACTTTTCTTTCTTCCATTTCATTCGTCGGTTTTGGAACCAAATTTTGATTTGTCTCTCGGAGAGCGACAAATTATGGGCGATTTCTATCCGGCGCCTACGCGTTAAGTAACGGTTGTAATGAAATTCTTTTTCTAACTCGAGCGTTTGGTGGCGGGTATAAGTTTGGCGTCCCTTTTTTCGATCTATTTTATAAAAAGTATTCACAAAATGATTTAATAAAAAAAAATAGAAGGAAATAATTATAATTATCAGAGAACTGCATGCTCGGTTCTAAGCCCGGGCACATGGGCCATACCGTAATTAAACATACCCGGGTAGGACTTAAAAATTTAAAAAAAAATACCCCGGGCAGGACCGCATAATTTAAAACAGATCGCTATTAATAGCTATAAAAATTAAGAATAAATGCAATAAAAAAAATCGGGACCGGGCCGGGCAAACGGTACCTCTGTAGGTCTCTGATAATTATCAAATAAAAGCAGACCTTGAATTTTATATAATTAATCATATTTTGATTATAAATGTTATGTATTTTCTTTTAAAATAAGGTCGTAATAGCCCATAATTTGGGTAAAAATTGATATGAGCTAGTGAAAAATAATACATATATTAGATATGATATGGTCAAAAGCCTAATTTTTAGCTAGTGTTTTGTTCCAAAAAGTAAAATGTTAAATTTCACAATTTTTAAATATATGTATCAAAAAAAATTCTTTATCTAATTATCGTCCTTTTCATTTCCCCCCAAAACGTATGAGTGTAATAGCTATACAACTATAAGATTCATGACTGGCCTCGTTAACTTGGTTACATTTTTTAAATGTTGGGATGAGGAATCACTCCCACTCAACTATGAATATGGGGCTAAAGTTAATATGTAAATAAATGACCCTATATGTCACCTAAAATAATGTTTATTTTTAGTATAAGCTATCTATTTAATAACCACACATGTAACACAAGTCCAGCTGATTTCGCTACTGCTCTCATGTTATACTAATTATATTCTTTAAAATTATATAATAAGAAAATAAAAAATTTATAATGGGAAAAGTGTTAAAATCAGGGTCTGGTCTAACCAAGCTAAAAAAAGATTTATCCAAGGTCGATCAGGTTTGTGAGATTAAAATTCAGTTTAAAAAAATTAATTATTAATATATACGGAATCATAAAAATTTTGATTTAATTTAGTTTTTTTTTTTCGAGGAACCAAAGAAAAATCAATAAAATAATATTGACATCCCGAGAAATCGGTGACGAAGAGGAAAAAAAACTTTTTTTAGTCAAGACTACATTTCATTTTTTTTTTGAAATATGATTATCGATTAGTGGAAGCAATGGTTATATTTTTTCCAAAAATGTTTTTTTTTTCCTAAGAGGACGATGGATGAGAATGTTAAAATGAAGATTAAAAAAAAACAATGTAAGCGTCAAATGAAAATTTCTCCCTAATCTCCTTTTCCCTGTTTCTAGCGGATTCCCTAAATTTGGGTTAAGGTTAGGTCTATAATATTAGTTAATCAGATCAGTTGACAGTAAACAATTAAAAGATAAAATACAATAGTAAGTGACATGTCAAAAAAGTTCTGAAAAAAATGTCAATCGGATATGTTAAATGTGGCTAAAATAGGATCCTGTTTGAGACATTCTCCCGGATTCCGTTTAATTATAGGGCCGGGAGAATATGTTTTGTTTTCCTAATACTTTTATAAGTATTTTTTTTGCAAGATAATCTTATAACGTTTATCGTTCTTCCGTCTTCTAAAAATTTTACTATTTCTTGAATTTTATTAGTTTAAAAATGGGGATTCTAATCTGATCAAATTCGGATATTTTTAAAAAAACTTTCATTGAATCTGTCGGAAAATATTAGAAATATCTTCGAATCGTGCTGACTTGAATTATATTTAAAAATCATGGTGGCATTGAAATATTTTTTTTTAGCATTAAAACAAAGATAAAATTAAAAAAATATATATTTAAATAATCTTGATAGCACAAATTTAAAAAAAAACAAAGGCCTTTAACAATACAAGGACAATTTAATTTTTTAAAAAATAAATTATTTGTATTTTTCTTTCTCTGGCCAAATTACCAGAATAAGAAAATTAATTATAAAATATAATTAAATGTAGAAATGATATAAAATAAAATTGCAATGATTGACGAGCTGCCAATCAGAGTACTGCAAGCCAATTAGTCAGAAACCGGGTTCTAGCCTAAAAATATGGTAGGACTTGGTGGGAAGGCCTGAGGGGCATAAATATTAACATTTGGGCCGGTCCCAGATCAATACTAAAAATGAATAAATTCAGGAGCTCATTCATAAAAAAAGGGTAATTTTACTGGAGTATATCGAAACCGCTGAAATCTCTATCGCACTTACAGAATATTTTAAAAATCTGAGATTACGAACAATGTATAAGAAAATTGTATTTAATAATTTTAATATCACATAAAATTCCTGCTAGGGACGTGGCATTCTTAGTAAATATCGGTTTGTATAATTATGCAAAATCGCTCTATTTGAGCCCATTTTAAAAACGGCTAACTCAGTATTGTATCCAGATAAGTATTAAACAAACCTAAATATTTTGCTCATAATTGATACGAGTGGCGCCACTAGCCTTTACAATCTCAGTTGGCTAAGTTAACTTAATCTTTTTTGGTATAAAAAAATCATAATTTTGAGGGGGCTCGAGCTCCTGCGCCCTCTAGTGACTCTACTGATTGACACAAAGGTCTGAATGGCTATTAGCGAAATCTCACTTAGGCAATATTTTTCTGCCTAAAATATTGAGTTAATCGTTTTTAAAAATCGGGTTAAATGGAGCGATTTTGAGTTACTATTGGCTAGCCTAAAAATTCATTTAGGATAGAAGTATTAAATACAACATAGACAGTATGGTTAATTGTCACATGATATAAATTTTATAAATAATTTTCAAATTTTATACATTGTTATTGTAATGATTGGTCAACATCATTATTGTAATCGCATAATGTCATCAGGTAAATACCTAAATACAATAGATATCTAACATCGGATATTTTGGATCTCGATAGCACTGATCCATACCCTGATACCTTAAATAGATAGCATAGTCTATTAATTATGCTTGAAAGAATATTATCTGAAGAAGCTAATAAAAATCTAATTAATAATATTATTCAAACTTTCGGATTTGGTAGAGCAAATATGAATTTTTCTTTAGAAATTAAGAAACAGTTGAACATTTCTATTTTCAATAATTAATGATTTAGAAAAAATTAGCGCTTCCTTTTCGCAACCTATAAGCAATATTAAATATTTTAATTTACTTTCTATTTCAAAAATTATTTAAATGTTGACTTATTTTCTAGGCAGAGTTGTCGGGTCAAAATAGTTAATGAAAATGCCATTTTGGCCTCCTCCATTTATTTCTATAATCCTTACTTTATAGTAATTAGCAAAGTAAATATCATTTATAATATTTTCCCAAGGTAATATTTAATTCTCAGTTCTAAAGTTTTAATTTATACTTCTTTGTGGTGGAGTTATATTTTTATATATTATGCTGTGCCGATATTAAATATAGGATCGGATCGGCACCGATATTTAACGTTTTCAAAAAATATCGGATATGGCCTATACCTGTATAAAAATTCTATTCGATCCGATCTTTTTATTATTTTTTGTTATATATATTTATAGTTTATTTTACATTATTATAATATTTCAAAAGATTTTTTAAATTTATTTTTATAAAAATTGAAAGATTCTAAATCTTTTTTTAAAAAAATTCTAAATAATTATTTATTTAATTTTAAAACAATGGAAATGCACAAAACCGCCTAAATTTTTTATATTAAAATTGAAAATTAAAAGAGAAACTAGTATCAAATAAAATAATTGAAATCGATAGTAATCTAGATGATCTGCCATACTTGAAAGAAATCAAAATTATATTTAGATGGTATAGTAACATATTTTTCATCTTTTATATAGTATATTGCTTGGCTGAGTTATATTTGACCCATTTGTTTGGGGGGTATCTGATTATTTTTCAAACCCAACAAAAGGTTGGGTTTGTATGAAAATCACAATTTTAAGAATGCTATTTTTATCTGTGTCTATTTAGATAACTCTACTAACATTGATATTTATATTATATCCCCTGTGGATCCACTTGACAATTGGAGAATTAATGCTGAAAAGTATTCAAATTTGTCAAAACCTGCACATAAATTTTGGGCACCTCCTGCAACAAATGTCCCATCTGAGTCTGTTTTCAGTATGTGAGGGGATATAGATAGTCCACATAGTAGAGATTTATAGCCAGACTCTCTCATATTGATTTTAAAAAATCAAATATATTATAATTTTATGTATTAAATATTACAATTTTATAATTCATAACATATATATATATATACTAGTATTCAAAATATAATGGATACATTATTAAATATTTACATATTTTTTTAAATGAGTCTTAATTGTATAAATAAAAATATTAAAATTAAATTAAATGCATAATTCGTTTTAGAAAATATGAATTTTTTATTACATTTGTTTCAAAGAGGGGTGAAAAAATCAATATAAATATCGAATCGGTTTTGAACCAATATCGAAATATATTGAATCGGATCGGTGAATATATGTTGATCGGCACAGCCCTAATTATGCAAATTCCATATTCTTCTCGGAAAATATCAGCCATTCCCAGGATATGGATATTCTAAATATTTAGAATTTTTATGCTATCCAAAAATATTCTCTGTGATCTGGAAACAAGCACACTCGCTTAATTGACGTTGAATTAAAGGAGATCATTCTTATATGACAAATTTACATAAAATTATTTTTTACATGATTATACAAAATTAAAATGAGTTTTATAATTAGTTTTCTTTTCAATAAAGATCTAAAAACATGGCGATATATCTGTGTATATCTTATTAATTAAAAAATTTTTAAATATCAGGGCGCTGATTTACCCCGCCTATGTCAATAGGGGCCAAGCAGCGCACAGTCGCCAATTAGATTCGCCGGTGCAAGATCTATATACGATATTTAATATTAGTTAAGAATAAAGGCGGGAAAGAACTTCATTATATTTTTTTTTAAATTTGGGATGGATGATATTTATATTTAATATAGATAACTTACATATGAGATATATAAAAAATAATTAATAAAAATGATTAATAACCAAATTGATTTTTCATCCAGGGATATAGAGTGGAGTCATTGTTTTTATCTTTACCATTTTTGTAAATCCCATCTCTGTCATCGGAATCACCGTCTAGCTCATGCCCGTAATAACTAGCATTTTCTTCTCCTTTATCTGCATCCTCTTCTTCTCCTCTCGTTCTTGGTCCCCTATAATCGATATTATAAACATTCAATTCTTTGAAGTCATCCTCGTCTTCAAAAGCTTTCTCGCAATCGAACCTAGCTAATTTGGCGCATCTTATATTATTATTATCAATATCACGATTCATATTCTCGAAAGTCAAATCATCTTTAGCTTGGGGTTTAGCGCCATTTACTTTGATTGGCTTTATCCTTTTACGCTTGCAATTATTGTTTAGCGGTTCGTTCGCTTTTTCATTGATTTCGCGCGCATGATATTTTTCTTCTCCCTCCACAAATTTGGCTTGATCGCTAGTTACATATTCGTTATTAAGGTAATCCTTGTGGTACGCGGAGGCAGACACGGGGTAATAATGGGCAGAGCCGGGAAAGTTGGTCATGTTGGGTGCTACTAAACTATTTTTATCGCTGTTATTATTTTTAGGCGATGTCACTAAATTGGATTGGTAATTGAAATTTGACGAGTTTACACCGTTGTGGTAAATGATGGAGTTCGGGTCCACGAAGTAAGAAGCGTAAGGATACGTGGTGTTAGCGTAAGGGTTAAAGTAAGGATAATTATGGGGGGAAGATATATTAACGGGGTATTCCTGCATTGAATTGTGATGGTAAGGGTAGTTGTGGTGGACGTGGTGAGGGGCGAAGTAGAGACTCATAAATATTTATCGATTAGGTTATATAAAGGCTAAAAAAATATATTAAATTATTAATTAATAGAATGTATATGATACTTTTAATTTATGTTACCTATTAATGATGATAATAAAATAAATCACACTGTAAGGTTATGAGATGATAGATGAATATTGAATACTGTTATCATTTTTGAAAGATATTATTAATAACGGATATATAGCGTTATTAGGTGTGCACCCATTATTAGAAGAATACTTATGTGTTAACATCTCAAATAATATAGTGGCCATGTTAATAAAAATATCCATAAAAATCATTATATCATTTTTAATACATTGTTCCTTCCTTATATCTATAATATATATAAAATTATCACCTCAAATCTATTAGCGGCCATTATAAGTTGAGTTGAATGTTAATTTTAGTTATTTTTTCAACACCTCAAATTTAATGTAAAATATTTGAGGCTAATTCTAGATTTGTGAGGAAAGAGTAAGAACTGATACTTAAATATACTAGGTATTGATTCAAATGTTATCAATAAAAAAACTAATTAAAAATGTTATAAATTATAATTATTCTAATTTAAAATTCCCATTTTAAACTAATTTACGAATTGCCAAAATTTAATAATATAAATGACAACGTAAAATAACAATAAAATTATAAAACAAAGACCTTGAGCAATTTAATTTTCGATATAAACGAGAGGAAAAACAATAGAAATTATTTTTGTAATATTGGCGTTATTTAAAAATATTTGTAATATAAAATGATAGGAGTTGACGTCTTGAAGATCGGCATAGCCAGAACTGGTCCGTTAATATATTATAACCTATCAAACAATTAAATCAGCCAGGCCCGTCAAGATATTATTGCTATTCAGCCTGAACCGTAAAGAATATGGATTTTTCACTGTGAGAGATCTCTAAATGATATGATAATTAAAAAGTCAAAATGTCTTGTACAAAAAATTTATGTTAGTTAAAAGTTCGCTGATTAATCAGTCACAATTCAAATATCACCCTAAGCCAATAAAATTGGCAAAAAATAAGGAACCCCCCTCACCCACCTTATCAAAAAGAGCAAAAAATATGGCAATACAAATCAAATTATGGAAATCTAAATCAATACCCCCCTTCCGTTATATATTCAAATGATGACAATATCTCCATAACTATCTATCCCCTTTAATACCCTCACCCCGATCTCTAAATGATATATTTAAAAGTCAAAATGTCTTGTACAAAAAATTTATATGTTAGTTAAAAGTTGGCTGATTAATCAGTCACAATTCAAATATCACCCTAAGCCAATAAAATTGGCAAAAAATAAGGAACCCCCCTCTTGTTTAGAAAAAAATTAATAAGTTGTATAATTTTTAGCAACTTCTTTTATCGGATTTTATTTTTCGTTTGGTCGGATATGACTTTCGAAAAAAATCAGTGTCAGATAATAAAAACTATCGAAAATTTTGGATTAAAAAAAAGATTTTAAAACTTTTAGCTTATTTGGATTTTTGATTTATTGTACCTCGCAATAAAGTATGCAACCTGACTGATAATTCATTCATTGTGTATCAATGCAAATCAGCTGGTGCCAGTTAAAATAATTTACATATTTTCATCAATTTATAAAAATTCTTATATGGAAAACCAAAATGGCGTCACCAGCTGATTTATATTCAAGATATTTCAAAATGCATTTTATATTTTGATTTATTTATGTTAATTTTTGAAAGTTTTCACTCTTAAAAAATTTATTAAATTTAAAATAAAAAATAAGAATATAAAATAGAAATAAAAATAAATTGAATATTCCAATTTTTAATAAAATATTTAAAATGCTAAGAAAAATTAAATTTAAATTATGGGCATAGAGTAGAAAATCTAAAAATAAATTGCTGGTAATTTTTATTAAAGCATTTTTTTCCTCAAATATAATATTTTCTTCTTATTTCTAAATTTATTGATGAAAGACACAATTAGAAATTTAATGATTAATAATTACATAAATATCTAATTTGTATATTCTTTTAAATTTATATAAATGTCAAATGGCAATTTAATTAATTAAACGAAAGTAATTTAAAAAATTATTGATGAATTTATAAAATATTTATGATAATAAATTATATATATATCTTTATTTTACCTTTATTTTTTAGTAGTTTTGCTTTAAAGACGAAATTATTTCGAAGATAAGATATAAATCAAAAATACAATTAGCCATAATTTATTTTTAATTTTATTTGATAGTAAAAAAAAATAATATATACATTTAATAAATTCAAATTTTTGATATATTGATGTAATAATTAAACACTTTTTTAAAAATAATAAAATTAAATAACCGATTTATATAAATTTTATTTTTGTTATAAGATTAATATTTATTTTATGTATATTCTTTAAAAAAATATGATTTTCTTCAATGAGTCAACAAAAATATTCTTTGAGTTAAATTAAAAGTAAATATATAATAAAATAAAATTTATTCTAAAATTGTTTCATTTCATTACTCCTTTTGTTCTCTTCTTTCTTTCTTACTTTCTTTCTTACTTTTACTTTCTTTCTTACTTTTACTTTCTTTTTTTCTTACTTTTACTTTCTTTCTTTCTTACTTTTACTTTCTTTCTTTCTTTTATGAAAAAAATATGGGAAGAATTGATTGAAATAAAAATTATATTTTTTTACCAGTTTTTTATGCATATCTTCAAACAAATTCCAAATATTTTTTTAAAAATAGAAAAAAATTCGCATTAATCACATTCACATTAATTAATAAAAAAATATTTTTTATTTCATTGAACTTTTATTTTAATACAAAATAAAAATTTTATTTTTATTTTAAAAATATGATTGACATAAAATACTCGCAGATGATTGGTTATTTATTTTTAAAAAGTTTTTTTTTATAAAAATAATTATTTGGTAGTAAGGCTAAGGGCTAAGGCGATAGTTTAATATTTTTTTCCCGACATGCGCAGTAGGCATTAAAATTGTCTGAAATTTATAGGGTGGTTATTATACACCTATTGGATTGCATTCCCGGTAAAATCAAATTTTTAAATTTAAAATAACGCGCTCAATTATGAAAAGCTTGGATGGAAAATCCTAAGAGGTTGGGAAACATCTATCTGCAGTATTTGTTAAATCATTAATTGAGCTCGATATTTTAAATTAAAAAATCTGATTTTACCGGGAATGCATTCCAATAGGTGTATAATACTCACCCTATAAATTTTAGACAATTTTATTATGAACTTTTAATTTCAATTTATAGTCTACTGCCCATATCGGGAAAACCTATTAAACTATCGTCTTACTAATAATTTTTATGCAATTTATTTTTAGGTATAAAAGGTAAATAGAACATTTTTAAAAAATTGGAAATCAAAGGAAAATAATAAAGAATCAAAAATCGAATAAAATTGTTCTTTACCCCCAAGTCCAATTATGTTTATCTTTGTATTAATAATCCAGCTTTATTTCGGCTTATAGTTGTTTTGAAGTTTTCTATGGTTTTTGAATATTCAACGATATCGGATTTACTAATAAATACTACAATAATTCCATGTATATTTTGTAGAAATGGCCCTAAGTAAAAAAATTGCAGTCAATCTCGCGTTACTTTACCCCTCTGTATGACTAATTTGAATGAACTCAATTTATGATAAAAACTATCTGCCCATATTAAATTTTTGTATTTATATCTTTATAATTCATTTTATAATCTAAAATATATAATGTTATGTTAAATTTTTTTTGGAAATTATTATTTTTTACTGGTAGATTGTTAAACGTACTTTAACCCTCAACAAAAAAATTTTAAAATAAACATAAATAATGTTGCAGATTGTTGATAAAATTTCATATTTTTTAACATGTCAATCAAAAAACATTTTTTTTATAGAATGTAAATATAGGATTTAAAATTAATTAATTAAACTAATCAGATATTGATTCGATATTTGAAAAGTGACTTATAAAACAATCGAAAAGTGGCTAATAAAACAAATATATTAACTATTACTATTTAAAAAAAAATCGTACAATTTTTATCAATATAATTTAGAAAATTTATCTAAGCCATTACCTTCTCAATATTTAACCTTATTCTCTTTAACTTTTACCGTAAAAATTACTAAATTTAATTCGAGCTACCATTTGGCTCTCCCGATGTTCAGATTAGTACAGTTACAAATGAATGAATGAATATATACTATTGTCTGAAAAATTTTTTTAATTTCAAAAATAAATAAAACCACAAAATATTTTCCCCCTCTTTTGTTATTAAAATTTTTTCTCTTTATTATCCAGGCATATATAATTTTGAAATATAAAATTACATAAAATTATTTCTGAATATTCATAATTTCTTGACATTTATTTTTTGTCGTATTCAAGTAAAATATTATATATAATAATATGTTTAATGTTTAATTAGTAATTTGATGAAAACAAGATATAGTTTTCATATGTGAGATTTGTACATAATGATGAAAAATTGCTGGATAAAGATAGAGAGAAAAAAAACATGATAATGATGAAAATGTCGATTAGATTATTGCAAAATTTTAAATTTGTGGATTGAATTAAATACAAGTATATGTATAATAAATATGAAATGATAAGTTATATAATATTATTAATATTTTATTTAATTTAAATATTATAATATGAATATTGCTTAAAAAGCTATATATCTATATTTTTTAGTATAACCAATCGTAGTAGCGCTAATTCTTGGCGAATTGTACAAATTACGCTGTATTTTTGTATTCTCTTTCGCGAATTCGTGCTAACTGAATACAGAGTAAAGCCTTGTTTATAGTAAACTCGTAGCGCTCAAGCGATTCGACAAGCATCGCTGGGTATTTTTCAAAAGCAAGCAAATATTAGGTATAATTCATAATTGATAGCGATGTAATTTATTTAATCGCATCGCGAAGTAATAAATTTTACATATTGGCCAGCATTTGAAAATAGCATGCACTATAAACGAGGCCTAATGCTGAATTTATAGTAAACGCGTTTTGTATGTGGTATGATTTATTGAAATCAAAGCTGATTCTTCAGCAATAATAATTTTTGAAATAATAGGGATAATTATTTTACATATTTCAGAAATATAATATAACTTTATTTCGCATTTATTTTTTATCATCGCATCACATAGTTATGATCATTTGGATCCATATTATATCCTATTGGCTTGATTTTGTAAATAGCGCAGCGTTAAATATTGAATAAAACGCGTTTACTATAAATTAGACTTAACTAGCAAAAAATGCAATCTTTATAATAGACCTATACATTCTAACATTTATCATTCTAGCGAATTATGTTAGCAAGCCAAAAATCTAACGTTTGAAAATAAATAATCAAAAATAATATTTCGAACGTTTGCCTACTAATAAATTTATCGTTATGCTTACTATTGCTAGTAGTAACAAATCTGAATGAATCACAGACAAAAATGTCCTAAACAAAAAGACTTGGCAAAAATACTCTTTAAAAAAAATTAAATACAAGGTGAACATTTATAAAATTAAGAATTTAAACAAATATACATAATTAGGGTATTTTTGCTTGGTATCTTTGTGTCCTGCTTAGGATACTTTTGTCCAAGACATTTCTATTCAAGATACATTATAAATAGTTTTCATATTTTAAAGTAACTAGAATGCTCTGGTAGAAAAATTAAACATTGAATAATATAATATTATTTTTGATAAAAATTATCCAGAATTAATTATGTATTAATAAAATTTATCTTCATATTAGTTGTATTATGATGAAATTGAGCATTTCAAATAATATCTTCTAAATTGGTCAAATTACCTTTTGGTGTTAGCAACCATTTAAAAAAAACGCAAACATGTTTGCCGTTTTGAGTATTTTTTAATTCATTCATTTTGCACGTTGGTCAACAACCAGTTCTTTAAGAATTCGATTTTTTTTCTGATGAAAACTCACTAAACTTTATTACTCTGGAAATAATAAGGGAAGTTGGGTACTAAAAACTCTTTCCTAGTTTAATTATATATAAATTAGATTTAATAATATATAAAATGTATTCATATCTTAAATTGGAATATTTAGAAATTAAAGAAATAAAAAGGTAGACGATAATATAATTTACAAAAACCAATTTTTTTTAAAAATAACTTTTTAAAATTTGACACTAAAAAGACAACCTCAATTTTAACAATGCATTACGTTTTTTAAAAAAATTAAAACAATATACGACAACACGCAAACTTCTAATTTATGCTCACTTTTATGCAACTAGTAAGCAAACGATAAATTTTTATAATACATTAGGTGCTCGAATCAAACGCGCTGGTTTGACCTTATAGCGTATTATATTTTTTATTTCGTACCATTATTATATATATAAATTTTTTGGTATATATTAAGATAAGCATTGATTTTATTAGATATAATAGGTCAGATGTGGCCTTGGTGGGTTAGGTGTTTTTACCTTCGGAATTTTACCCGTTTTTATAAATATCATTTTAAAGATAATATTTATCTCACTTTCCAAAAAATATTATACAATATGATATGCCACTATAAACAATAATAAAGAAAAATATGCAATAGTTAATTATTTTTTTTTAAAAATAATCTTTAAAAAGGCTCTTTCTTATAAGCATTATTTCGCGCGATAGAATGCTTAATTTTGATTTTTGAGGCTAATATATGATATGCAGTATATCATACAGTTTCAGTTATTGAAATTTCTATGGATAATCCATAAGTAAACCTTCCATAATAGAAAATTTATGAAACCATATTTTAATTTGAAAAGTATATATACCGCATTTCATTCAAACCTCAAAAATCCAAAATAACCAAAAAATGTAACATATATAAGTTAGCTTAAAGACATCCAATAAAATTTATAAACAGAATCAAAAGTATCCCCCCCCCCACCCTTAGAAAATTATGGCTAAGCTTATGGAATTATCTTACTCATATATAATCACTAACTACCATAACACTAGGAACATCAGATTTTGCGTTTTGGCAGAAAAATGTATACTCAGATTTTTTTTGACCAAATTATGAATAAAAATTGGTTACATAACAAATACTCTTGCTCTCAGGGGGGTATAATGCTCGCAAATAACAAAGACAAGGCCGCAACTGCCCCCCCCCTGAAAATTGCTTGTTCGTTAATTATTTGATGTATGATTGATATTGCTAGTTATAGTGACCCAATGGGGGGGGGGAATATGAACATTCTTAGTTATTTCAATTAACTACAACAGTGTTCGAAATCTACGCAACTAAAGTTCTCAGTTGACAGAGCGTTCTCTGAGTTAACTTTTTGCTCTGGATTTTTGGAGCACGTGTTACTACTTATACTTCCTAATCATATTTTTACCTACGAATCTTAAATATTTATTATATTCTGTTATAGTGTGTATAATAATGTAAATACAATTATCAATAATATAAATTTACCAAAACTTGAAAAACCCGTTAAATTTATTTTTATAAAACCGTGACCTTTTTTTTATTACTAGCAGCCGAACGATTACCAAACCGGAATTTTGATAGATAACGGTTCGGGTCTCTTATCACAGCAAAAGAGTATTTTGTGCTAAGAATTGTTTTCTAAAACATTGTGAAAAATTAAGAAATTAAAGTTGTTTATGATAATAAAAAATTGGTTTAACTTTATAATTATTTCAATAACTTCATTTCTATTGCATAAAATTTTATAATTCTTGTAAGATCGTTGGAAGATTTATTTATTATAGATATAAAAAACATAATAATTAACTCAATTTTTGGGCACATTTAATTCGAGATTATCATCAATCTTCACTTTGCTAATTGGTTCTAACGAAGTGTAAGAAAATAGAATATACAAATACAATTAAAACTTACAAATGTGATCTTTATCGACCCTTTTGGATCGTTTGCTGTCTCATGTCCAAATCAAATTAAAAATTTCTTCAAAATATTGCAAGTTATTGACCACCTCTCTATATTGACCCCCTCCCCCTTATGATCATGCACAGTGAACCCCGCACAGAACGATACTAGTCTGATCCGACTAAACTCTAGTATGTCAAAACTCTGACAGAACCTAGGTTTTGAAAATTTAATTTAAATCGGGCCAACTCTCGGACCTCGATAAAATGTCAAATTATTTTGTTTTTATGGTTCATTAAGTTTTGTTTTCCATAATCTTTTATTTTCATTCAAGGATCAATCCATGGTCCTGGTTTTGTTTCGTCTTATTTTTGAAACTCATTTATAGTGTTGTTAACCGGCTCGATTTGAGCAGATTTTTAAAAACGGCTAACTCAATATTTTATCCTGAAAAATATTACGCAAGCCTAAAAATTTTGCTCATAGATGGCACAAAGGTTTGAACATCTATTAGCGAAATCTCGACGCTTAGGCAATATTTTTCTGGCTAAAATATTGAGTTCGCCGTTTTTAAAAAGCGGCTCACAAATCATGACGTTTAACAACACTACCTATTTCTGTTTATACCAGGTTAAACAGATTTTCTACTAGGACACCCTATTTTATTTTGGTTTGTTTTAAGTGTATACATTAAATAAATATTATTTGCTATTTATATATTTTTTCGGTATAAATATTATATTTTCAATTAGACGCTATAATAGCATCTTTCTTTTTAAGCTGTTTAGAGGAAGCTATATAGACGGTTAAACAGACAACGGCTTAGATATAAGACGAATCACTTCTCTTGAAGTATACTTTTTTTCAACAATCTTGGATCGGATTGGACTTATTTCTAAAACAAAATTTCTATTCGGCTTGGATTCGTATCTTTGGAAGAAAAAAAATACTCGGATTGGATTGGTCAGATCTGAAAAAAATGTCCGATGCAGTGCTCTAGTATATTCATATACATGTAGCGTAAAATTATAAGATTGAAAATTTTCTATTTTTTCTCTCCCCTATTTGAATTTGATATAAATAAAAGATTTTATTTTTAATCAATCACTTTTCCTTTTCTTTGTAAATATTATTTTTAATATTAATGTATTAAATATATTTATTTATTTATAATTAAATTAAATATTAATATTCTATTTTATTTTTTTCCTCTCTTTGTTCTTTTTAAATGATAAACTGACGAGGGTAAGAAAAGAATATAGCCGACTTATGTATTATATATAATTTATACTATGTATTTTACGATCAAATGAAAGCCGCTACACTTGACCAGATTTCTCACGGTAAATCCTTTCCTAGGGAGAATAAAAAAAATGACCACGCATTGACTGATATGATTTCTCTATGATGTCTTGTATTTCTTTTTTTAAATTTTATAGTTAAAAAATAGGATTTTTTAAAATTATTTTCTAATTATTAGACAGAGGTAACATTTACTGGGTTTTTTATAAATAAGCTAATAATGGCGATTTAAAATATTCAGTTTTAAAATATATGGCCCGGCCCGGGTATTTAAAAAAATTAAAATACGGCCTGGCCTATGTGCTCGGGTTCGGGCCGGGCTTGCAGTCGGTTATTTTTAAATTTAAATTCTGTTTTTAAGTTGTGCACATACAGTAAAACTTCGGTATAATGAAATCATGCGTGAACTAGGACTGGGAACCAAAATTAAAAACCCAAGATTAACAAAATATTGTATAGATATTAGGTCAAATTGGTATTGGTTTAAACAATAGTTTCTATTTCTTGTAATTGGTGTTAGTTCCTATTAGTTTAAATTCAAATTATTAATTAAAAGAATAAAGATAGATAGTGTTTTAAAAAAACCCGTATTTTGTAGTTTTAAATAAAGATGAAAAAAAAATCATGAAGCATCTCCTAAATAGGGCTGAGAATCAACTCTCAAAATTTTACTGAATCCAAATTCTTTTTTAAACTATGAATTTTTTTAATGTGAATATAATTGATCATAAATTTTTTGTATCAACAAACCTACAAACCAATTAAAAAAAAATAAACCCATTAATTCTGAAACTTTGTATTTAACACAAATATAGCAAAATTAGTAAACTAAAATAGCATAGAACTGTTAACGATTGATATAAATTTAATATAAGGGAAAACCAATCTAGTCTTTAAGAAAGATCCTGCTTGCACACAAATTTTTAGGCACAGGCAAGCTCGAATAGTATGTTCATCTATTGAATAACGCGTAAAAGTAAAATAATCATATATATTTATTTATTTTTAATATTGGGATTGGTAATTGATTTTTATTTAAATAATATATCAAAACTAATATGTCGGAATTGATTGTAAAACTAATACTAATATTTAATTATATATTGGTTTATTTTGGAATATTGTAAACCAACAATATATTTGGTATTGATCCTTCCTTATTGTGAACCAAAGGTCTGCAATGGGTTTTAGTTCTGACCTTGTATATTTTAAACAGTCTAAATATTTTTCGGGCTAAATAATCAGAAGACTCTATTTATTATAAATCATTTTTTTATTTCATAACATTCTATATTTTATAAACATTATTAAAAATATATTTAAATAAATATAGATCCAAACCAGCCATTTAAATAGCTTTTATAAATTGGGCCTGTTGGTAAAACAAAATATTCAGATAAATGGGCGGGGCGGGAAGGTAAATTTTTCAAAAAAAAATTATGGGTGGGAAGGGGGTTATTTTTTTTAAAACAATTAGTGAGGCGTTGTTGACTAAAACATACCCATTGCAGACCTCTAATATATTTACTATATATGAAGATTCCATGATCTTCAAATTTGATTTATTAAAGAAAATTTACCATTATATAGTGAAATTTATAAGATTTTAATGTGTATATTAAAGACAGCATGACTCAGCCCGAAATACCTCATTACATAAAAACTGCATTATATGGATGTAAAATATTTAGTAGGAGAGACTGGGGTTAGGTAAACCCCGGGGTTTGGCAAACCACTTAATCTCATTTTAAAATTAATTATTTCAAAATATATTTTATCCTAATTTAGTTTTCATTAGTATATATCTATGGACAAAATATATTTTGAAATATTAATTACTAAAAATTTTATTTTAAATAAAATTTTGATGAAATTTTCAAAAGATTTTTACATGACAGAATATTTTTATTAAAATATACAATCATATGTAAATTAATTTTATTACAAAGTTTAAACATTCTTCTATAATTTGAGTGAGTTTTATGAGTATTTATCTAGATATATTTCAATAATGATTTTTTATTTTAGAGCTAGCGGGGTTTGCTAAACCATACACGTCAATTATGGCAATTAATAATGAAAAATTTCAAAATCTTGAAAAAGCAATTTCATGGTTGTTTATGATTGGTATTTAGGATTTATGCTAGGAAATCTTGATCTCTCCTTAAAATACATATTTTTTTATGTCCAAAATGTTTATTAAATTAGCCAAAAATAAGTTTCAATTTTTATATATAATTAGCTTCAATTTATAAGTAATATTATATTTTGAACAAGAAAATAATAAAATTATTCTATACATATCATTAACTACTAATAAATATAAATGCATTTCAATTTATTATGGCCTAAAAAAACCAATGGTTTAGGAAGCCCCTTGAAGTGGTTTGCCTCACCCCGCTATTGGGGGCTTGTTGAACAAAATTTTCACTTTTACAAAAAATAAAATTTAAAAAAAACGATTATATTCTTAAGATTTTTTATAAGGCACCTTTATAGAGTATAGTTTTACATATCCAATCATATATTATTTTTTATATTACCTATAAAATAACAAGAGCTATCGCCAATTTTGTAAATATTGGTTCGACTAACCTCAGTCTCCCCTAGTTGCATTAAATTTATCTTAGGGGATATTATTATATTTTATAACCATATTTCGTTTATTTTGTCTCAGTAGTGGTGTTGTTAAACTGCTCGATTTTAGCCGATTTTTAAAAAACGACAAACTAAATATTTTATCTTGAAAAATATTACGCAAACCTGAAGATCTTGCTCATAGATGTCACAAAGATTTTTACATTTATTCGCGAAATCTCTGCACCACTTAGGCAATATTTTTTTTGGCTGAAAAAATTGAGCTAGCCATTTTTAAAAATCAGTTTAAATCGATCCATTTAACAAGACTACTCAGTATGTATATTCTTGTGTTTGATTTGAATGCATTATCTTCAACCTATCTTACTTTTAGTTTTATTATATACTTTCTAAAATGGAGTATATTCCTATTAATGTTGCATTTGTTATTCAATCGATTGTATCGTATAATCTTATTTTAGGATTAGATTATTAATTATTATATATCAAAAATATAATGTTGTATAGTAATACCTTTTGCCGTTATCGCTCTCTTTATCTCGCTTAAATATTCAATGAATGATTTATAACCTTATTTTATACACTATAAGAAACAAATCTTAATAAAGTATAATAATAAAGCGTTGATTTCAAACCGATTTACAAAAAAAACTCATAATTTATAATATAATATTATATAATTTATTTTAAAATCTAATCATTTAAAAATGTCATTAAAAAATCATTATAATAATTTTGCAAATTAAAGGAATAAATCAATTTTTTTTTAAATCAAAGATAATTTTTTGTTAAAGTTGCGTTTTTTTATCATTTTTTTGTTTGATTTGTGGGTTAGTTAAGAGATAAAGTTTTTCAAATAGAATATATAAATATTAAAAAGTTTTTTTTAAAATAACAACTATATACATAAATTTTGTATTTTAAATTAGTTTGGTGAAATGGCACCTATAATTTAGGATAGGGTGCTAAAAGTTAATTTTTTCTAATTTTGTTATGTTCTAAAAAGTCATTTTTCTTTTAATTTAGTTAGCTCTAAAAAAATTTCAGCATAAAATAAACATATTTTAGATGTGTTCAAATTAAGCTTAAAAGCATGTTGAGCGAACACGCTTTTCCCCCTCAAAGATGCTAAAACAAGTTTGATGAGAAGTGTGTTACTAGTGGAGTGATTTTTGGTTATGCTAAATCACATGGGGTTAGTGTGGGTGAATTATATTATCTTTTTTATAAATATTGTAATAGTGGATCATTTAGCATTTTGACAAAAAGCGTATTTAAGATAATTGAACATAACTTTATTGTTTTATTGAACAATATATTGTAATTTTGTCATATATTTATCACTTTTAAGTATAAACTAATGAATACAATATGGATTATCAAAAATAGCCCATTTTAGGTATATAGTATATTTCAATTATTCTTCTTCTTTGCCACTACTTTTAAAATTTTATTCCAAATATACACCTATCTTTTTAAATGGTGGTGACGTTAATATTTAAAGATTATCTTTTTACAGCTTTAATCAGTTGGAATATTTAACTGTTTTACCCATAACAACCCAAAATAATACACATATAAATCAATTGCGTGACTTAAATTTTATTTTATAGCTATGACTTTAAGGATCATGAACATAAAATTTTAAATTATGAGCCTTATTTGTAAAAGCAAAATAAGATAGATGATGCATTTTTAATTAAAAACGGTTTTTGGCAAAATATGCCAAACCAGGAACGTTTTTCAAAAGATAAACATAGGTAAGAAATTAGAAAGATCATTATTGCTCAAGATTTAAAAGTTAGTTATTCACGTTAACATTGTTAACCCGTCAATCGCTTTATGCATATCTACCTTATACCTTGTAAATCAAATCACCTATCAGATTGATAGGATAGTAATATAAATGACAAATGATTGATAGGATAGTAATGTAAATGACAAATGATTGAATTTTATTAAAAAATATATCTATAATTATTTTGAAGATTTCAGATTATTCGAATAATTCAATCCGAATAAAACGAATTATTTATAAAATTTGTTGAATAATTATCAAATCAAATAATTTAGTATTCGTAGTTGCTATAAATTAAAGTAAATAGATTTAAATCAAACTAAGAACATATACACTGCTCATAAATAAAGGTGGTTTAATAGGGTTAAATCAAATTATAGACATCCCTACTACTTGCCCTACTTGAAAACTTTTTCTTATTATAGATGCTATAAATGTTTAAAAAGTGGATATATATATGTCATAGTTTTGATTTCGAGTCCAATTATTAAATGATTAACAGATATTAATTGACGCTTGCAACAGAGGGTGACTGACTATACAACTAAAGGGAAATTTTACCCACGAAGTCGCATAAAATTGTCGAGGGCGATCAGAAAAAAAGCAACTGATTAGATAAAAATATATTTATTTTTTATCGTATAGTAGGGGAGACCGGGAATCATGAGTTCGAGGTTATTGTGAGCCTCGAGGTTTTCTCATAGAATACTCAACTCTAAAGGGTTAGTTTTTTAACCAAACATTTATAACTACATTATGCATACGCTGCTATAAATTGTTTAAATCGGATTACATATTAAATTTTTATAAAACAATGTGTATTTTATAGTACCCTCAAAAGTAACTTTTTTAAATTCTGCAATTTATAAGAAATAATAAAGGTTTTAATCATTCATAACTATCTTATATAAGAGATTAAATCCTATTCTATATAAAATTATTCTTTATTTTAACAAAAAATAGAATTAAACTAATAAAGTTTATAGATAAGGGTTTCGGGTTACTTTTCAGAGGTTCATATGAGATTTGAAGCGTTTTTTTTGCTTATTGAATTTGAGTATGGTAAGAAATTATATCAGAAAAAAAAGAAAAACTAATAATGATGAGATCATTAACAAATCTAATGGAAATTTGTCATTGCTAACCGTTACGAAGAAAACAAACTTAGGTTATGCAACAGTTAAAAGATATAAATCAAGTAATGAAACAACAAGATTTAAAATTGTCATCAAAAAAAATATTCAAGAAAGTGAAAGAAAATATATTAACTTATCTAATAAATGTATCTAAAATGTTTATGAGTCCTTTGTCCCACGTAAATACGCTTTTTTCGCATGGATCCTATTGAAATTTTAATCTATTATTTAATTGTTTTTTTATAATTATTTTCCATTAAGGTTATTTTCAATAAAGTAGTTACAATAATATATATTTTTATATTTAGAAACTATTAATATTAGCATCATCCTTTCCCAAATATTTTTTTCGGAAAAATTAATATTGTTAAAAAAGTATAATTATTTAAAAAATTATTTATATAAGTAAATAAGTGGAATATAACATATTATTTATTCAATATTATCAAGTAGATTTCATTTTATCGACCTTTACATTTTAGGGCTCGCAAGCTCCCCAGTCTCCCCTATGACTTTTTTAAAATCATATTCATATATTTTATATATTAAAAGTTCTATTCTTAGTAATATATACTTTATTTTAGATATTGCTATTTGGTTTTTCACTATAGAGGTGGGGTAAATACGATACCACGACTTTATAATCGTTGTAATACAAAACCTAGAAGATATTCTGTTCTGACCTGATTCAGTACTTTAATATTCTGTAACAATTAATATAATTTCCAAATTTCATGATTATTGATGATAGTTTTTGAGATATTAGCAATTTGTCGAGCTTGGGGTAAAATATACCCCACCTGTGTACTTAAGTAATTTTTTTTAAAAACAATTTTTTTCTGTCACTAATTAGGATTGTAGATTGCAAGTTAATATATAAAATTTGTATATGTCTTTAAATTTGAAAATTTTCTATTATTTATTTTTTCAGTGAAGTAAAAAATCATAAATTAAACTTATAATTTATAATTTTATTTTTTCAAGTAATCTTCATAATATGCTTAAAAATTTATGCCCTAGTTGATTCAAGAACTTTTTAAAAATAGAATTTTATGATGGCAATAAGCCTGAAAAACCTTATAATTTGGGCATTTTTAACCCATTTCTAATAATAGAAATGTCCACAGATGACTGGTTTACCAGTTCTGATCTTGCTAAATATTCATTAAATTCCCATTCAATAACTATAGTAGAAACCTTAAGAAAAAATAAAAAGCATATTCCAGCATTATTTAATTTTAGAAATATATTTATTCAAGCTTATTTGCCTTCCAATAAAATATGACATTAATATCTCACGTACCAAAAAAGTATAAACATGTTGTTATTATTTCTACTCTTCACAATATTAATATTAATACATAAACTGGAGATTTGAAAAAACCAAAAATCACCATTTTTACAATCTCGATAAAGCTGGAGATGATGTTGTGAATCAACTTCGTTCAAATTATTCTATATCAAGAAAAACATGTATAAACAATTTTTTATAATTTGCTGAATATATCATGCTTATAAATCCAATAATTATAGATATAAAATTATTAGCTATGGAGCTAATAACTCCATTAATGAGTTAGATATGAAAATCCTCGTGTAGATTGCTAAGGGATGATATTGGTAAAATGCTCAATATAGAGGAACTAAACTCCATTTCTACCAAACACAAAGGAAGGTTTTTCTCTTGTCCGAGAGGACAAAAAATCTCCATTTATTTGCTCAAAATGTTTAAAGTTTATAATGCAAGATCATATGCATGTATCCTATCCTGGAATGTTTTTTAAAAAATATGCATAATCTTTTATGTCAAATATTATTTTTAATATGTGAGTTTTATTATACACTACAAACAATAACTTGAAAGAAAAAATAGCAAAAGATAATATAAAAAATAATGACATTCAATTTTTTATAAGTACATTTTTATAAATAAAGTGAAATCAAATTAGAAAAGTAACAAAGACACGCAATTGGTTGTCTCAAAGATCTCCAATTAAATGGATGGGAAAAAACCAACCTAAATGTGTGCGCCCCCCCTCCCCAAACTCTGGATACATATATGATTTGATATGATACAGTTTTTAGATAAACTTATCTTACAGGTGATTAGAGTTAGACCTCAATAAATTAATTAGCAATTTTGAAAATGAAAATATAAATCATGATTTCCTTGAGATGATATGGATTGCCTCAAAAAAAATGATAGACTCATAGACTTAGAGAAGGTTAAGGTGTAAATATAGAAAAGGATAGCTGAAACTCTCCGATAATTTAAAATTCAAGGGAAGGGGTTATCTAATAACTTTGTTGTCAAATAAACCCCTTTTAATAATATTGTTCCAAGTAATAAGAATTTAATATTAAAAAAGGGAGATAAATAGCAAGCGATTAAGTTTACAAGTAATGGTATGAAGGAAATAAAAACTATTTCCAAATTTATATATGTATATGTCTAAAAATTTCATATTTCTGACATTTATCCAAAGTTTTATGCATAGTGTTGTAAAACGACTATATTTTTAAAAACGATAAACCTAATATTTTAGTCAAAAAATATTACGCAAGCCTAGAGACTTTGCTCATGAATGGCAGAAAGGTTTGAGCATCTATTAATGAAATCTAGAAGCGGGCCTAACATTTTTGGCAAAAATTAAAATTTAAAGTTGATTAAATCGAGACTTTTAATAACGATATTTAAAGAATCCTCACCACTACAATGTCACCAAAATGTATATAAGGCATACGTTTTTTTACTGTATATTCTATTATCCGGAAAACTTAATTTTAGTTCTATATATTAATATCGATTTTTCGTTTTTCTTTTACTTTTATAAAATAAAAGATTATATAAATAATTTTCAAACAATTTTAAAAAAAAATGAAAATCATCTCTGAATTCGACTTTATTTGTGACAAATATATAATAAATAACAATGCCATACATAAGGGATTCTCTCGTGTTTAACTAATCATTCAATTTTGATCGTGACAAATAAGGGCAAGTCAAGGATTATATATTTGGATAATTTAATCTTTAAAATCTTAATATTTTAATTACCAAAAAACGGAAAAAGTAAAATAGAGTTTTCTTATAAAGAAATATTATAGGTAAAGTAATTATCAAATTTGCACATATTCTAGAAATATAATATACTAATCAGAGTAATTGAACTTAAAATGATCTGTTTTATTTCCCAAAATTTAAAAGAATTAAAATATGGTTATAGTCTTATTTAGAATTATTTTTTTAACCTACTTTTGTATCGAACATAATTTATAAATGCAATAGTATACATCCTAATTTTTACTTATTTTTTTCTTAAAATCAGGATAAGATATGTTATATATAATACTACACATTAAATTTCTAACGAAGGATACAGAAAAGTGTGGAAAATGGTTAATTAAGTTAATCAATGATTAAAAATTTTACTTGTGAATATCAAAGTAACTAAAAGCACTCAGTCAGATTGGAATAAAATTGGGAAATGTCGAGGCTAGATTTTACTTGGTAGACTTTAAGATTAGAATTTTAAACATAAAGTATTATAAAAAAAACACATATTATTATACGTTAAGTTATATATTTTTTCTTTAAAATGCTTTATAACATTATGAAATGCATTAAAGTGAAGCTTACAGCTAATTTACGTCTATTCAGTGGTCGGGCTCAAAATTAATTTTTTAAAAATCATATTTTATTTAGTTATAATTTCCAAAATAATCATTTTGTTTAAATATAAAAAATTTTTTTTAAAAAATATTTAGGGGGTTTGAGCCCTTCCTAGTAGCGTTACAGCGGCTATTATAGTGTTGTTAAACGGCTAGTTTTGAGCCTATTTTTAAAAGCGGCTAACACAATATTTCATCCAGAAAAAAATTAAGCAAGCCTGAAGATTCTGCTCATAGAAAGAACAAAGGTTTAAAAAGGCATTATCGAAATTTCGAGGCTTAGGCAATATTTTCCTGGGCCGTCTAACAACACTAGGCTATTAGATAATATTAAATAAATATATATAATGTCGTAGCCCTTGTTGGAATTAAAAATGATCCAAGATTATTCAAGGGTTTCGTCATATATTTTTGACATAGAACTTCTGGATATCATTTAAAATAAAATACTTCTATGCCCATTTAGACATAATTAGTGAAGGGGAAAACTCCGATCGGAACTTAGATTTGGTCCTAAAAAGCGGTTCATCCAACCTTCATAATGCGTTCCAAGGAAGAATTCATATATATAAATCAAAGAATCGTTATTAAAAATTATATTAAATTTTTTCTTTTAAATTTAATATAAATGAAAAATAGGAAATTAAATATTGCCTAATAGTGAGCACAAATTGAACGTTTCAACAGCGTTTCAAAACGCAAAAAAAATGCTTTTTAAATGCATTCGTTTAAATTGGACAGCATTTTTTTTTGTTTTAAATTTTGATGTCAAATTATAAAAAATAAAAATTAACGGTACAATTTTAAATTTTTTGAACCAACATACTTTATCCCAGAGGTATACGGGTCTAACAAATTTAATTTGTCAAACGTTTTGAAACGCTGCGAAACGTTCAATTTGTGCGCACTATAAGGCTTTATATGCCCAGTTATTTATTAATTGATATTACTTCAATTTCCTCGATATATAGAAAGTTTGAGATACAGAAGAAAATAATATTATTTGTTAATAATATTGTAGAAAGAAATAGAAGAAGAATATGAAATAATAGAAAGTCAAAATTTTATTTAAAAAAAACGATTTATTTATTATTGAAATTTACGAAATCGAGTTTGGACGCATAATGTATAAATGCGAGAATAATTAATTTAAAAAATTTTTTTTTTTTAACTTTTGGACTTAGAAAAAAAAGAATAAATTCGATTAGATCTAAAAAATGGATTGAAGAAATAATTAGAGTTTTTCGAGACCCTTTAATGAAATCACGATATACTTATCGGGATCATCATATCCATGATAAATTATTACTAAAATTTATTAATACTGATAACTATTCGTGCATTACAAAAGAATATTTTGCTGGATATTAATGAAAAATGTATGAGATCATATAAAAATAGTAAATATATTATTTCATGATAATCATCAAAATTTATACCACTTAGGCCTTCCTTCTTAAATTAAATATTCTATTAAGAGTTTTTTCAATATAGAATCCTATATAAGTTTTAGATCCATGAATTAAGAAAATAAATTATTTTTCTAAATTAAATAACTTTTTAAATATAAAAAAACATCCACATCCTCACTATTTATTATAATAGGTATATATATATGTATGCTATATTTACTGATTCCCCTTTTATCACCAATGGCTAGAGATTATTTACCTATAAAAGGCACATCAGTTTCATGTGGAAGAGTTTTCTCAAAGTGGGAAAACTGATAAGCAAAATGAGAAATATTATATCTCCAAAAATGGTGGTGCAATATTTGATGGTGCTGCTAGATTTTTGGATGATAATTGGCTTTGCTAAAACGATCTATCCTACAAGACGCGTCCGTCCAAAAAGAATAGATAGAACAGGATGGACAAACCCTTCCCATTCACTAAAATAAATAAATGTAAGACTTTGACAAGACAACGCAAAATTTCATTAATAAAATAAAATACCATTAAATATTTAGGGCGAAATGCTTTTTAAAATATCGTTTTATTAGTTTTTTCCCTATGAATCGAAAAATAAACATTAACATATTCAACGCATGATAACTCATTTATTTATCCTGTTTTTCTAAATTAGAAAAATCTGGGTTGCTTATTATTCAGAATACCTACCCTGTAAATTTGAGACAAGTTGGACACGAACAATCAACTGGGTGAAAAGTGAGATATAATATAAATGTTTTACGTCTAATAGGCATAGAAAGCTAAAATTTTAGTTTAAATTTAACTAAACGAGTTCCAAATTATACTATATAAAAAGGTAACAAAACTAATATCAGTTTAAAATCCTTGTAAAAATTTGCTAGTTAAAGTTAAAGCGTAATTTATCTGTTTTTATTGATTTAATCACGGTATGCACTCTTTTACCATAACCCGGTTTGTAATAATAGAGAGGTGAGTATTGTATGACCATGCATTGACTGGCCAAAATTCATACATTCATATTGAAATAAAAAGCTTGAAAATGATGAAAAAATTCCCCATATGGAATGGAATTCAAGATTAAGACTCACCAAGCCTCAGCAGAAAATTTTATAAAATTATATAATACAAGATAAAGCTAGAAAATCATTAATGGGGTTTAGCAAAAAATAGTTAAAACTTATAAATAAGTTAAAGCATTTTTTAATGATATTAATTACATGTTAGAATTATATGTTAGATAATTTGTTATAGATATCAAATATATATGTATGTTAGAGCATTTTTGATATTAATTATATATTAGAATTACCTGTTACATAAGTAGTTATCATAGATTTAATTATATAAATTTTTATGTTAAAAATTATTTATTTTTTGATAAGAATATTTGCACATGATTTTATGAGTTAAAGATTGATAAACCTAAAAAAGAATTATGATGAGTGTTTGTGCAATATATGCAAGAAGAAATATTCCTAGAGCAAGAAAGAGGGGATTAAATGTATTCATTGTAATAAATAGGCTCATGCTTAATGTATTAATATTTAACAAAAAGATAATTTAGATAATAATTTATAAAGA